TGTAGAGAAAGAATTGTGACTATTGACAGATTGATGGGGAGGGGTAAAATTATAGTTAATTGGTGCTTCTTATTTTTTGAGATAAGTGCAGAATCTTATAGTCATATCCTGCTTTGGTGCCCAACAATTTATAATATATGGACTATCATCTACGGGCTCTTGGAGATCAATTGAGTTATTGTGGGTTCTGTGAGAGATGAGCTATGAGCGTTGGCTGGTTTGTGTAAAAAGAAAACTTACTTACTCTTAATCCCTTTATCTACTTTTGGGTGGTTTGGAATGAGAGAAATGCTAAACTTTTTGAGGATATCATCTACGGGCTCTTGGAGATCAATTGAGTTATTGTGGGTTCTGTGAGAGATGAGCTATGAGCGTTGGCTGGTTTGTGTAAAAAGAAAACTTACTTACTCTTATCCCTTTATCTATCTTTTGGGTGGTTTGGAATGAGAGAAATGCTAAACTTTTTGAGGATATTGAGAGGGAGGTTGTTAATATTAGAGATAAATGGATTCATGTTTTTGGTTCCATAATTTTGAGTCATGATATTAATAGGATTGAAGATTTTGGGAATGTCATTGACCACTTGATTGATTAGTAAATATTTTTGTACACGAGTGGTACACACTTGATACCATTGTTAATATTATACCTTACTACACTTTTATTTCAAAAAAATAAATAATAATATCAAACTGGCTAAGGGCATGATGACAATTCTTGAAGGTAGTCAAAGCCTCCCATCCTGCAAGTGATTTAACTTGGTTTTATCTCATTCCCTACAGTTTTGCACTGACAGATAGAAGCTACATACTTCTCAGCCTCAACACATGCCCTAATTTTAGATACTTCGATTTCCTAAGTTGCTACCTATTCCTTACAGTTCCACTGTTAAGCAGCCCCCACAACTAATGGTACATGTATATGACCTTTCAATACTACATGAGTAATATGTTATCTAAAAAAAAAACTCTCTCAAAAAACATGCTACATCAATAATATGTAAACTTTGAGCATACACATAGATGATTTAAAAAAAAAACAGTAATATAAATAATAACATACTTATATGTTGATTCACACATCTCCAAGACACCAAAAGTTATGATGCATAATTGCTTTATATGAAACATTTTCCAACAACAGCATGTTGCTAATACCCTAATATCATAAGCATAATCATGTCCCTGAACCTCGCTCAATTTACCAATAAAACTGTAGCAGTAACATACTTGATGGACATTGCCGAATTAGTTTTAGTCATTTCAAATAAAGTGAGGATAGGTTTTAGCAAAGATGTAGCCTTTTCAAAGTTCCTCCTTTGTACACAAGACAAATTTTAACAGCAATGGCTCAAACCCACTTCTCTCATAGTACAATGCATCACAATATCCAAGCCTATGAACTTCACAAAGTAAAGGTCTTTGTTGACCTTCTCTCTTGCAATGAATTAAAAATAAAGGAACTAAACACAATTAAAAGTCTCTATTCACACAATTAACATTAAAAAACAGAATAAGAAAATCTAATTGAAACTTTGAGAAAAGGATATCAAAGATCTCTAGTTGATCAATCGCTTCAACTGCATATTCATCGGTATCACATGGAACACTTCGAACCCGCCGCTCTTTCTTTTCGTATACAACAGGATTCGCATTAATTAACCCCAACACCATGTTTTTTCCTAAAATCAATTGAAAAATTAATTCCCAACATAAATCACCAAGTTTAACAGAAGAAAATAACAGCAAGAAAGGTACAAATCATTCAAATTAACTCATATAACTTTAGCCACTCAAATGTCTATAAATAAAACAAAATAGAGTTGCTACTTATTCAATTATTAAGATTTTGGAGACCTACAGGCTGATCAACATACAGAGGAAAGGTTTTAAAGTAACTGAAACAAGAAAGAAAGGTGGCAGGCACTCATCATATCGTGTAGAATAATTAACTAGGGCAAAAATAATTCGGTTCTAACTACAGGGCATGCATCCCTAAGTACATTTACCAAAAAAAAGTATTAAACTTCATATTTATAACTCATATTAGGGAATGTGGAAAACGAACCCCTTAAATCTGCTTTCACTGTATTTTTCAACTTGTGAAAAAAGCCATGTGCACATATAACAATGCACACTGAAATGGAATAACATACCAAAATGAATAATCAAGAAGAAAGATGTACAGATTTTTTTTGAAGTAAATTATGAATTATATTTATGGCACTGAGGAGTCCAACTCATATACAAAAAATTTACAAATCTAACAAAATATCTGTTTGATCCCTAGCCCCTCATTAGAATAAATTGGATGGCCCCTTATAAAAAAGCTTAAGGTTTGGAACAAAAAATCCTTGAAACTATCAAAATTAGGGTCAATGCCCTAAAAAGTCCTTCAGTTCCTTTCTTTGCATATAAGCCAGAAAGTAACTAGAGGGATAAGTCTTAATCTCTTATCTCCGTGAATGTCCCTCCAATAAAGGAGCTTCTCCTTAAACCGAACCCATAATAACCCAATTCAGCCTCAATGACCCATACACCAATACAAAGCTGGCATGCAAACAAACACCACAAAAGAATATGGTTACAAGATTTTGCATAGCTTTTGCACAAGAAGCATCCATTCGCTAAGAATTTTTTCCCTCCTAATCCAAGGTTAGAGTACTCTCCCATGCTGCTTCCCAAGAAAACCCCCTTGGTGTCATGTTAACCTTCCAAATATATTTAGCTGGAAAATCCTCCCTCTTCATCACCCCATTGCACCATTGTGTGACTCCACCGGGGAAGACACTCTACACACTTAACTTCCACATGGGAGTGTCAACTTTCGAATAATTTACTTTAACCACTGAGATTGATTCCATAAACTTCATATATCTGCGATCTTTCAATCCTTCAAAATCCTAGTCAACTCTAGACATCAAGCCTCATTACCACTGGACCCCACCAAGGACTGCATAACAGTGACCTCCTTACTTCTAACAACAGCAAAAAATGCTGGGAATATTGTTGAGATAAGAGCCCCCCCCCCCCAAAAAAAAAGGTTGAAGCCAACATTCTAACCATTACCAACAAGAGAAATAAAAAGAAAGAAAAGATAATGTTTGAACGGAAGAGAGGGCCTTGACCAGAACAACCATGAAATAAGCTAAGACCAATTATTCCCGCAAAGATTGAGCCATAGGAGATCTACAGATGCGCAGCCTATCCCAAGGCCAAATATGAGAAAATTTGTTTGAAGCTACTAAATGGATAACTAGGAAATGTTCCAGCATTTACCATTTGGTATGATCATGGAACCATAAACCAAGGACATTGAAAACAAAAAAGGAATCTAATTAGTAATGAAGGTTCAATTGTGATTAAATCTGTCAAAAAAAATAAAAGATGATAACCTAACCAATAAAGGCAAGAGCTAAACACGCATGAGGAGCATAGGGTTCCTACAGAATACCAATTTTATCTTATACTGCTTTGATAACTAAAAAACAAGAAGTGGAAGAGATGAAAAGGCATTGACAAATTTCGGAAAGCTAAACCAAACAGCTCCCGCCACTCATAATTCCTGAAACACCAAATTCTCGTGCAAATGAAGCTATCAAAGACTGAAAAAAGAAAAGACAAATAAATAAAAGGAATGAGAATGAAAATGCAGAGAGCAGCCTCAAAACAGAGAATAAACGCAATTAACAGGAACACCATTTGTGGTTCACCAAGAGTAAATGAAAACGGCAACCTAAAATCAAGGACAGAGAAATACGTCTCCTTCAAATCGTAGAAACAACATCGAAGGCTTTTTATCGAGCACCTTACAAGAAAGACCAAAGTAACATCTATACGCAAACTTGACTATACCTACAAATTCAGCTCACAATGACAATAAATAATTAAAAATGAAAGAAGAGAAGGTAAAAGTGAAAATCTCGATCACGGATCCAATGGATGTCATCATGAAAAATCAGTGGATGATATTATTAACCAAACCAAACATCACGAGGATCGTGAGGCGAAGGTGATCAATACTGAGGTGAAGATGGTTTTACCGTTCACGGCGATAGCCAGCACACACACGGGAAACCAGGTGATCAAACGTTAAGCGGAGCGGCAGCGAACTTGAGAATTTCCAACAGGTTGAGCAGAGATGTAGAGTCGTCGAGCGTTCTAGGGTAAGGAATGGGCGCGGTAGTGGAGCGGTTAGGGTTCGCTCCGGTCAGATGAGAAGTATACAGAAGCAATCTGCGGGTTTAGAGGCTGAGCGCCTTGCGCAGAATTGTTGAACGGTGGTAGAGATGGAGCACGGCGGAGAGAGGAAAAAGGCCGAGGAGCGGGGAGAGACGAGGGTCAAGCGGTCCGAAACTGGACCAAAATTGTTGGTATTTTAATTATATGAAATTGCACCGATACAACCAACGGTTTTAATCCATGTTTATCTCTCTGAAATTTTAAATTTGGAACTCTTGGCAGTCCAATTTCTTTATAGAATTACACTAATTTTTTTTTTAAATTATTTTTAATTAAAATAATTAATGTATCAATAAAAATTAAAACAAGTGATAAATTTATAAGCTTCATAACTAAAAAATTTAATAAAGCAAATAATTATTCATTTAATGTCAATCTATAATTATACTTTTTTTCTTTCGGACTATGCTTTTGGCCAAACAAATTAAAAAGAAAACAACGAATGAGCAACAACAAAAAAGATATTAACCAAATACTTTCATTTTTATTAAGTCTAGCAACATAAATGTTCTTGTTTCCTTTCTTTTTCTTTCCGGTTTTTACATTCAGCAAAGGAGAAGAAATTAAGAGAGAAACATGTGTGTTTATATATATATATATATATATGTGCTATTTAGTCCTCGCCATTGCGATCCTCATTGATCTCGTAAAGAATTATCACAAGAGCCACTATAAAAGCGTAATCAACATGGGGGTACGCAGTGATGGCGAAGGTATCTTTATCAAATACAATGCTCTGAATACTGTGCTTCTTGTGCATCTGCATTGAAATTAAGAAAAACCCGATTTCACCAATAAATTAGAATTCTTATATGATATATATATTATATATATATATATAATGGGTTTTCTAAGATGTACTTACTTGTCCGATAACGGTGTTGGAATTCCCAATATGAACAGTGCATGATCGTTCAAGCCAGCTACCTTTCACCTTGAAATCATAAGCTGATTCACTTGAATTTTGGGCCAAGAAAACATTCAATTCCGTCTTGAATTGAATCAACGATGACTTTTTTGCACTAAAAATTAAATCTTTAGGGTTCGTGCTCTCTCCCCTATAAACTTGCCACCTCCTGTGCGCAGTCAATATCTAAATCACCGTATTGAGAAGTTTTTCAACGTCGAAATCATATGCATGCATGAATACAAATTTACCCACAAGAAAACAAGAATAAATTTTTAACCTTTTGTTGGAGAGTGAGGAGGGGAGAACCGCAGGCATCGAGCAAAGTACGGCGATCGCGGATGCTGAAAAATTTATTCCGAAGGGTGAAGATTTGGGTGCCATTAACGTCGGTGATATCAAAATGGCCTTCTCCGAGTTTGAATAGCTTCTTTGAGAGGACTAAGTCAATCGGGTACGGTGCCACGAACTGTGGCCCGACCACCACGACCGGGTTATGCACAGGCGTGTATGCATTTCCCGGCACCGGCAACTCGCCTATTCCAGCCATTGTTTTTTCCTTGAAAATCTCCAAGCGATCGCAAGGTAGAAAAAGGAAAGGAAGGAGTTTCTTATAGATGATGTTGACACGTTTTACAAGAAACGAGCTTTGCGAATATAACATTACCGTACACATGGATGATCGGCCTTATAACATGCTCCTTCTTCGCCACTGCATCATTATATATATATGTATATATATACTGGTTCGGTGCTCGAAGAGGGTAGATGTCTGGCATGTTTCCATACGAATAACTCCATGTATATTATTAGCGGAACCAGCTGATTTTATTGCTTTAACAGATCTATACTCTAAATCAACAAGATGCTTTCGGAGACATTTTGATTAAATATATAGGATTGGTCAGAGTTGCAGGAGCATTCATATATATATATATATATATATATATATGCAGTTGGAGTGAGTCATGGCAGTGGATTATAAGTCAACAAGTCAACTAATAAAATACCCAAACTATCTTTATTTAAATGTATTATTATATAATAAATAATAATATAATTAGAATATAATATATAACATAAAATTTTAGGAATTTTATGAAGCAATTTGATTGGTGTAATATCAACTGGGTTCGTAGGCTTAGCCCAGTCAATCGGTAAATGGGCCGTCCAAACTAAATTTTGTGGCCCAATTGATGAAGCAACTTTAAATTACTCAAAAAAAAAAAAAGAAAAGAAAAATCAGGTTATAAGATAAAGCTTCACCGTTCATAGACATCATTTTCGGTGAAAGGTCGATGATGCTAACTATCGTCTACGTTTTTTTTTGTCTTGTAGCTAAAACTCACAATTTCAAACGCTTTGAATTTTGTTTAAGAATAAGACATATTATGATGTGTTGCTGCAGTGGGTTGGAAATCATATATGCATAGTTGTATTGACTTACATTACATATAATCTGGGGGAGCAATTTTGGATGGGCATGGAAATGTGTTTTTTCTTCTTTTGTCTGTGTGAACAGTTAAGGGGGCAAAAGAGTCTCTTAAAAGGAGAGAAAATAGGGGAGACTGGAAAAGGTCAAAATGTCGAATTACACGTGGCGGCTCGTTGGAATCCAAGGCGCCCCCTGGTTTCCAAAAATACAACATAATCCACCGGAACCGCCTAACCTTTCCTTAAATTCCATTCCCATCTGGTTTTCTCCTCCCTCTGATTTCACCCTCACTTGTTTTGGATACACTATAAATACCACCTAACCACCTACCTCTTTCTCCACGGAAAATCTTCACTTAATCCTTTAATCTTCATTCATTCCTTTACATCATCGTCGTCACAATCAACAAGCCATGTCTGCTGCTGGTCAGGTCATTTGTTGCAGAGGTAAATCTCCAACAGCTTCACCGTTTTCACTTTTTTTCCTTTTCTTTTCTTTTCATCCATCTCGTTTCCTCCCGCTCAGTCAGGAGCTGCTCGTGTTTGATCTGCGTCTTGCTTCCTATTTATTCGTTGATTCTTATGTCGGTTTATTTTTTCACTTGTGGCCTTTGATCTTCTTTCTTATGATCATGTGTTGGTGATGTCTCTGTGTACTCGTTGATCAAAATGTTGTTGGTGAAGGGAAAATCTTCATCTGCCTGAGCGTTTAATGGGAAAATCTTCAAATCTCTTCAAGTGTTTCTTTAACTTAGGATATTAGAGAATTTTAAAAGGAATTAGTTTATGTAATTCTTGCTTGCTTGCGGTTAATTTGTCTGATTGGTTTGCCGTGTCGGTTGTAGCTGCTGTTGCATGGGAGGCGGGGAAGCCGCTAGTGATGGAGGAAGTGGAGGTCGCACCACCACAACAAAATGAAGTTCGTTTGAAAATCCTTTTCACTTCCTTGTGCCATACTGATGTTTACTTCTGGGAGGCCAAGGTAATTTTTCCTATTTGTTATTCTCCAGCTGAGTTGTTAGATAGTTCAAACCACATTCCTGACCTTCCTTATCTTCTTCAAAGCATCTCTCAGATCTCGATTTTGTAACCTATAATCTTTGGCCTCTGTTGCATGCATTAATTGTTTCTTCTCGTGAGTTTTCGTCTTGTCGTGATGCACTCCAATGACTTGATCTGTATTTCTGCATTTTGCAGGGGCAAGCACCATTGTTTCCTCGCATATTTGGTCATGAAGCTGCAGGGTAAGTGGAGCCACCTTTATTTTATTTATTATTTCAAATTTGTTTTCAGATCAACATTCAAGTGTATGTGATATATTTTGTTGGTAATTAAGTCACGTGAGAATATGATTTCGGGTAGTTAGGTTGTGATTGACTTGTGATAAAATCAACTTTTAGTGGATTTTAGTACTAATGAGTTGTTGGTAACATTGTACAATATAGGATTGTAGAGAGTATTGGTGAGGGCGTGACTCATCTCCAACCTGGAGACCATGTTCTCCCTATCTTCACAGGGGAATGCGGCGAGTGCCGTCACTGTCATTCAGAAGAGAGCAACATGTGTGACCTCCTCAGGATCAACACTGAAAGGGGTGTAATGATTTCTGATGGCAAGTCCAGGTTTTCTATTGACGGCAAGCCCATACACCACTTTCTTGGTACCTCTACATTTAGCGAATACACTGTTGTCCATGCCGGCTGTGTTGCTAAGATCAATCCTGCTGCTCCCCTTGACAAAGTTTGCATTGTTAGTTGCGGGTTATCCACAGGTTTGTTTGAAAGCCTTAATTTATGTAAATTTCTTCTTGTTAAGTATATGTTGAACTGATCGCTTTGCCTTCTGCTTGAAGGTTTTGGTGCCACTGTGAATGTTGCCAAACCCAAAAAGGGTGACACAGTTGCAATCTTTGGCTTGGGTGCTGTTGGCCTTGCTGTCAGTAATTTTCTCTCTTAAAAAAAATTTTGTTTTCTTCTTTCTAATAGTTGATGAGTGCTTATCTGTCTATTTTCTGACGATTTCTAGGCTGCTGAAGGGGCAAGGGTTTCCGGGGCATCTAGGATCATTGGTGTTGATTTGAACCCCAACAGATTTGAGGAAGGTAAATACACTTGAGAATTTCCTCTATTTGAAATTAAGGAAGCTTCTAATTTACTTATTATCATGTTGGGATTTACTTTGTTTTGGCAGCCAAGAAATTTGGTGTAACAGAGTTCGTGAATCCTAAAGACTACAACAAACCTGTTCAAGAGGTTGGTTTTAACAAATTTAGAGGGTGTTCGGTTCATTTCCCTTCTAATCATTTTTCTACATAGATATTCCTTTTCCGTAGTCCTTTTTTGTTGCAGTGAAGAGCACAAGATGTTTTAATCTAATCCAAAATCTATTGTCGTGCTGAGCTAGAATGTTAATTATGGCTACTAAGAGACCTTTTCTCTAACTTTATTAGTAAGTTCGTTGGTTAGATTTTTCTTTGCTTACAATAAAACATGTTAAATAAATCAGGTGATTGCTGAGATGACCGATGGAGGTGTGGATCGGAGTATCGAGTGCACTGGGAGCATCCAGGCCATGATATCCGCATTTGAATGCGTTCATGATGTAATGAACTTCCGTGGCTATTTCCCTTTACTCTCGACCAAAATGATTGCATAACTAAAATTTGAAAACAACTTGTCAGGGTTGGGGTGTTGCTGTACTTGTTGGCGTGCCAAACAGAGACGATGCGTTCAAAACTCATCCAGTGAACTTCCTGAACGAGAGGACTCTCAAGGGTACTTTCTTCGGCAACTACAAACCCCGGACTGATATTCCTGGGGTTGTTGAAAAATACATGAACAAGGTAAAGCCAAACTCATCCCCAGTTCTTGTTCATTGTGGTGGTATGTACATATATATATATATATATGTCCTGAACTGTGCTTTATGTTGATGTTGCAGGAGCTAGAATTGGAAAAGTTCATCACCCACAATATCGCTTTCTCGGAGATCAACAAAGCATTTGATTACATGCTGAAAGGCGAGAGCCTGAGGTGCATCATCCACATGGAAGAGTAGAGAACTGCTACCTAAGTTGGGGAAGCGAGAATAGAGCATTTTGTTTAAAGTTGTATGGCATATGTTAAGAAACTTTGTAGGTCTTCTCCACAGTGAGCTGCAAGAACTTTGATTTTCTACTGAATTCTTTTTCACTTGGTTTTCCCGTGCATGGTGGTGAATGCTTTGGCTCATGATGCTACCCTAATGTAAGATGAAGATTGACAATCCGAAGGGCAATGCCTTGTGTAATTAGCCAATCGAGCATATTCACTTAATAATCTATGTATGCAGACAAAGAATATGTTTCTTGTTTTTGATTTCAAACTTTTGTTATATGCAAAGGAGAGCCGACGAAGGGATGTCAAATCAGACCGTACTTTTTCCATTAGGGCCAAATGTAGTAAATAAATAATCTTATTTGAAACAATATAAAGATATTAAGAAAATTTTTGAGTTTCAAATAAGATGGTACTCAATAAACGCAGGAAAGAGGAAGAATGAATGAAAAACCCTATATATTACAACATTATGCGAGTAATATCACATAATCTATTTCAAGCAATAGAAGCAGGGGATATCTATATACTCAAACAAAGTAATACTGCTACAAGCCAATATTAGGTGGTCAGAGTTGTTTGGCTTCCATCACGCAAGGACCCTCGGTACTTCTTCATCCTTCTCCGACGAACAGCTGAGTAGGGAGGAGATCCTTCCAGGAGGTCGGGTATCACTAATCGAACTCTACTACATTTGAAGGGCTCGTTACGGAGTTTTGAGTGTCCACCTCAACTAGAAAGCAAACTGCTATATTTGGCCGGACACAACCAGAGTTGAACATTGACTCTGAATCCCTAGACAAAACCATGATATGTAAAAAGAAACGAAGATCAAGGAGAATCGGAGCAGAAGAGGAGAATGAAACGACAATGGTTTTGGAAACCCTAATAGTTTTCTTCTTTTTTTTTTTTTACATACATTTAATATTCTTTAGGGATGTGTATATTATGATATATGTTTTGTACTAAAATCTAAATTTTTAATTTGTTTAGATTAAATTCAAAGATACCATTCTTGAAAAAGTTTGGACAGATCAATAAGAATTGGGTTGGTATGGATTTGGACAAGCTTTGGTGATTAGAGTATTTCTTTTAAGTGAAGTAAATAACTTCTATTTCTTATTACATTATTTATATACATATATATATAATGTCAATTATAAAGTTCAAATTCCAATATTACATATATGAATCTATATCCGAGAACTTAGAAAGAAATGTTGTCATGCAATATATATGTATCTCGTACAATTCAAAAAATATATTATCATTTTATCTATTTCTTAGGATTTAATTACTTTGTATAGATTTTTTTTTTTTGGGGGTAAATTATTACATTCTTTTTGTTAAATTTGATAACTACATGGTGAAAGGGATATCATGTTATTGTGTAAAATATATACTAAAATTTCAAATAATTTTAAATAAATAACAAAATATTTAGTTATAAATAATAATATATTATAATCTCCCGATATTATTATATAAAAATCAGTAATTCTAATAATAAAAGTTAATTATTATCATATTAATAGAAGATTAAATACTGATTACTATCAATATATTAATATTATGAAAATTAATTCTGATATCGTACCACTAACGACATAATAGCATATTATTTATAATTTTATAACTTTAAATGTGATATTAGTTTATATTAAAAATAAATTTTTTTATATTAATATAAATTTACATATTTTAAATAAAATTTTTTAAAAAATTTCATAAAAAAAAGATGCAATGAAAGTTTTAAAAAAAAAAATTCTATCTTTGAGTGATAGTATTTATTAAATTATATGTTTTTTTTTATAACAACAACCAAACTATCAAAATATTAATTAATTACTGGATGTCAAATTCATAAAACATAATTTTTTTTTTTTTCAAAATTTGAATAAAAAACATGAGCATTGAGGAACTTGGGTATGACTATTAAAACGTTGAGTGTAATAGTTAAAACTTATTCAATTAATAAAATCTTACATACCATGCATGTTTGTGCTTGTGTATGTTTATGAAATGGCAGTGAATATGATGTGGTAATCTCCGACTTAAAACCTTACATATATGTATGTATGTATGTATATTGTGCATAATTCAATTTCAGTTTTGTTTTGTTTAGTTTAATATTTTTTGAGAAATCAAATTAAAAGTAAACTGCTAATTCAGATAGATTTGTAAAATAACCTAAAATATTTCTTACTCAAAACAGACCAGATTAGTGATTAAGAAAAAAAAAAAACTAAAACTTTTCACAGAGAGTCGTTTGTTTATTTGTAAGTTACTGAATCACAAAAGAACCTCCTTGTTGAAGATCCAGCTGAACTTGGCATAATGTGGCTCCCATCTTCTTAGCCCTCTCGTCGGCTCGCTCCTGCAGCTTCCTGATCCTCGGCGCTAACCCACATACGAAGTCCCGAGCACGTCTCCCTTCCCCCGTCAATCCCTCCAGCTTCTCCAATCCCCACCGTCCCACCAGGAACTCCAATATGTCCGCGTAATCATCCGCCGTGTATACCCCCAGCCTTTGCGCCACCGCCGAGAAGTGCTCAAACAGCCGCGGCTCCTTTCCGTCGTACATCAGGTGGGCTGGCATCGTAATCTTCTTCCTCATCATGTCTGCAATTGCCATCATCGCCCCCGTCGGATCAACTTCGAGTAGCTTCTCTACGATCTTAGCGTAGGCGTTCTCGTGTCGCTTCTCGTCTGATGCGATGGTCCCGCATATGCGCGCCAGCACAGGATCCCCGCCTTCCTTTGCCAACCGAGCCGTGTTGCCATGGGATACAAACGTCGCTCGCTCTTGAAATGACGTATAAACGAAACCCAGATACGGGTTGTTCTCTGTTCCTGGCTCCTGTCAATCCCATCTCATTTTATTTTATTCACTTTAGTATCCCAAAAATAAATATAAACCCAAAAAAATTGCCCGAAAACTCACCATTCCAGCTCCAATCAGATACTGAATTGTCCTCTCTATCATCAGCATGTCCACCCGACCCGATAGATAGAGATACGTCCTCAACAAGTCACCGTGGCGGTTCTCTTCCGCGGTCCAGGCCCGAGTCCACATTGCCCAGGGGCTAGGGCTCGCCCCAGTCTCGTCCCTAACCCCGTCCAGTGTGTTTATTATGGTCTGATACGTGGGTAAAGCATCTTCCGTAATCATATCCCCCACCAACACCACAAAGTAGTCGTCGGGCAGCTGAGCCGTGCGTTCGCGAAGAGCGCGCACCTGATCGTGGAAATCGGCTTTGTTTTGTGTCGGATCGGGCAAAAACGAGGCGGGTTGCCAGCACTGTTCGACGGGTTTGAGGAGCGGCAGCACGTGATGGGTGGCCCAGTCCTCGAGTGACTCGAAGACTGCCATCTTCTCAGGCGGCATGGAGTGGGTTGTCTGTTGTTTCAGTGACAGTGGTGAGGCAGCGACTGCGGAGATCGAGAGCTGTGAATTCCGGAATCTGACGGTGGATGACGATGGCGAGCGGCGGGGGGTGAGGGTGGAGGGATATGGGGTCCAGGAAGGACATGTGGCGTTGGACAAGTAATAGGAGGCATGCATTGTTTGCTGACTGTGGTGGGTGGTAGTGGGGGGATTCACAGTAGAATGAACTCGAGGTTCTCGTGAGCTCTAAACCGTAGTACATATAGATGGTGGACCTACAGTTTGACCCCCCCTTTTCCACAAATTCACGAAAATGCCAGACAATTAGAGTAAGTTGAGCATATTTTGTCAGAGGGGCAATATGGTGACTTTAGAAATTGTGGATGAAGAAAACAAGGGGTGGCAGTGGTTTCTGTGGGTTTTTTGTTGGTGGGCTGATTCTTTGGAAACATTTAATTATGTTTTAATTATTAAGCTAATTGTCTGAGATTTACAGTAATTAAACTAATCAAATTAAATCAGAGCATTACATGTGTTGTCAATTTCATTTCAGGACTAATCATTGTACTCAAGTTTGGTGCTGCCTCAGTCTGACAAAAAATTTGGGATGAATGACAGCGGGTTCCAGTAAAAATCCAAATCCAAGTTTGAATCGAAATTTTTTTTAATATCTAAAAAGTTAGATATATTGTTGTCATTATACTAATTAAAAAAAATATAATCACTATTTAAAAAATATATATATATAATTGATTTGTTAATTCTAATAATAAATTGAATCACACATTAATATAATATTTTATTTTTTTGTATTTATTCGTAAAAGTTGAAATTAATTAAAAAATACTTAAAAATAATAAATAATTTGTCAGAAAGAAAAATATATATTTATGAAATGAGTAACATTAAAATAAAATATAATAATAAAAACAGATTATACCTCTTCTTTTATTTATAAAAAGACCAAAAATCTCATTTTTATAGTAGTCTTGTATTAAATAAAATTTTAAAATATTTGTGTTCAATGAGTTCTTAATTATATTATAAGTATATCATATTTGTAATTCTAATTTTTTATTTTTTTAAGATGCGTTGAAATTACAAAAATAAATGAGTAAAATAATTTCAGTGTCAATTTTTTTTTTTTTTTTTATAAAATTTATTTCCCTAACTTGTAGTTTAGATATTAATAATTAAACACATACCAAACGCCCAGTTGAAGAAATATTTTTTGCACTGTTTGGAATTTTTTGATTCCACCAGACGCCATCAATTTTTTTTTTTTTTTTTTTTTCTAATTTAAACTTCATTTATATTATTTAACAAAATATATATTACTAAATATATATATTAATACAGATAAATTTTTGGATTTCAAAATCCAAACGCAACCCAACTCTGTTTTTTATGTTGAAATCGAGTCGTATTCAAATTACTTTTGTGAAAATGGAAATAAGATTGGCAGCACGATTCGAGTTCATCGAAGTTTGTTTGCCCTTCGTATATAAGTTAATTCAAAAAATTTCTTAATTATTGAAATTATTTTACACTACCTTTTTTTTGTAAAAAAATTTTCAAATAATTAAATGAATTTTGAATATCAAACAAACAAATTGTGAGTTTCAGTTATCGTAATAACTTAAAAATAGTAAATTTTTCTAATTTTAATAAGACGTCAACTCTAATTTAAATCTCCTAAACTCACCCATTAGCATTTTAAGTCATTGTTGATAGCATCTCCCAATTGTCAAATTTCTATCATACAACTCTTTGCACTAACTAAGATCTCTTATTCTTGTATATTTTTCTCCTCAAAAAAGTTCAATGACCAATTCTAATTTGCATGGAAAATCTATTAGTAGTATTATTATTATTTTTTTATTTTTATTTTTTGCATTTTATCCATTATTATTCGTAAAAAATGAGAGGATATGGAAGAAAGTGAAGAGGGAAAGATGGAGAAAAAAAAATAATAATAATACTACTAATAGATTTTCCATGCAAATTAGAATTGGCCATTGAACTTTTGTCTTATTTGAGTGATACAAACAATAACTTACAAGTTATACTAATTACTTCTACAGTATTGCATAAGTATGGAGTAACTCTGTATTTGGAAGTGCCTCCATATTTAGAGCTTAATTTGTTCTTATATTACAAATTTACGATTCAAGAATTACAAAGCATGAATTGAATCACAATATGTTTTTTTCACATAGCTTTTCTCTTGTTTATTTCATTAATCTTTACTAGCAGAGCATCATGTATGCTCCAATTATAAGGTAGATTACAAATCATGCCTTATGTTCGAGCTTTTGATGTTCAATATCTGAAGTAGATGCTCCTGCAGAGTCAATAATGGTAGGATCTGCAGCCTTCTTTGCATGCAAACCTTCACCGAACTTGGCATTTTTCTCAGTTTCTTCTTCAACATGGACATCATCCTCGGTAGATATTACCACAGCTTGCGGTCCTTTAGGACCACCAACAATGGCTTCCTTAACTTTAAGGTGTTCATCAATACATAAAAAATGTGTTTCTTGAACTGTCTTCTTCTGTTTCTTCTTCTTCTTGATGTAACAACAGAGAGCAAAAGCAAGAAATGCAAGGAGCAAAACACCACCAAATGAAACAAACACAACGATTATGACAGTGGTATGATTATCCGGTGATGGGGCTGGCGGAGGTGGCTTTGATGGCGGGGGTGGCGGCGGCCGGGAAGGTTGGTGTGGTGGTGGAGGGAAAAATGGGAAGTTGAAGTTATTAGGAGAAGCCATTGATTTTTCAGTAGGAAGGCAGAGAGATTATTGGTTTGTTGTTGGATGAATGAAGGGGTGAGAGTCTTGATTCCTATTTGTACTCAAAAACTTAGAGGAGGTGGGGAGGGAAACTTGAATCTCATTCTAAGATTTGAGATTGGCATTGTTTGGTTTGGTTGCATTGGAAAACACTTCTCAGATTTTCCTTCTTTGAAACATTTTGGGGGAGCAAACGATGGATCATTTACCTATAATGTTAAAATGTCTTGTAGACTTTCATCTTGATTCATATCTTATGCAGATAATATTGAAATTTTTCCAAAGAAAGATCGAAAATTCTACTGTATGCCACATGCCATACAATCTTAGAAATGATTTCTTTTCTCAATGATCAAAGAATTGAAGAATTTCTTTTTTGTTTTTCGGTGAAAATAATCAAGAAAATTATGTTGGAAAGAGGCGGTTCTCATCTGTCCTTTTCTTTCCCATTTTGCTTTTTTCTTCAGCCAAAAGTAAAAAGAATGTTCCACCTACAAATTAACTTCAAACCATTTTATTCCACTTCTAATTGCTTTACAAAGGCCAGCCCGAGCAAGTTACTCAGAGCTTTCTTTCACATAATACAAATTTTACCCGTGTCGCGAAGGGTGACAATCAATTAGGATTACAAACTATAAACTCTGGTTTATGGATTTTCAAGGAATAGAATTGCTTCACCTGGTGGCTCCCTGGTGATCATGGGGTTGAAAAATACAATCTTCTGATTCCCAGTTATCTGTTAGTACTATATATGTCAAATCTGCAGAGACAGCATGTTATGCTGATGGAAGATGTAGCCGATAATTTGATAGCAGATGGGAAAAGAGAATCTCATTCCACATATCAGGGACTCCTGGCAGGCACCAGTGGCTACAATCAGGCACCTTTGGTTTGTCACTCCAAGTGCCAACATGAGCATCACTTCGGAATGCTCCCATAGGTGTTACATGCAAAACTTTTACGCCAGCTTTCATGTTCTTTACCACATCGAGTATTGTATCTGAAATTACACTGTGCTCCCTCCCTCTTGGTCTCAATGATGGGCGTCTAGTCACTTTGCAAGAATTTCGGTTTGGACCACTGTCACATACATACATATTAACCAGTCAAGTTTTCATTTAATGACACTATTAACTTAAAATGCATAAATCCTTCACCCTCCTCTAGTCCCACTAAAAATGGGTAAGAACACAGTCTTTAGTCAACTATTTATGAGACGACCATTTTAAAAGATGTTAAAAATCAAAAGGTTTCCATTTCAGTTTATGGACCTGGAATTCAAAAGACTCAGAACCCTAGCAGAACAGACAAGATCTTTATTATGAAACTCACCTCCAATGGGAAGTTTCAAAAGTTCGGAAGAATACACTTGTTCTATTCATGTTAATTGAAGCATCAACCCAAGATGCCCATGTGCGTAAGGCAACTCTGAAAGCCGATGTGATTGGCATTCCAAGCTTCAAAGAGCTGCCTATCTGAAAGTAGCAGTTCCTGTGTGGAAGAAACATGTTAGCAGCATTCTGTATATGCATGGCCAAAAGGTATGTCAATTATTATGAGATGTATTTGCACTAGTTTTGTTTTCCACTCCTAATGGAACCAACTGATACATTCAATAAAATCAACATGTTGCAAGCTTGTTGCAAATCCAAGAATAGTTTAATAGGAATGAGGAATCATCCTATCAACATCAATTGACAAATATAAGACAAACCCGCCCGCAAACTTGCCCATAGTGTATTTAAATGGAACCGGATCAACACGAAATTGGAAAAAATTACCAAAAGTATTCAAAAACATAATTCCTCGACCATACAAGTATAAGCTCTAGAAAGTGATGACTTACATATCAAAAAGCTTAGTGGGTGTCCACCAATGGCCGGAATTAAATATCAGAATATCAGAATCAATCCATTCTGTGCTGATAGAATCCAACTTGTCCAGTTTAAGGGTTGATTTAACTCTCTTTGGTGCAGACTTTGGTACTGAACCAGGCTGGACCAAGAAAACTGAGCGGTAGAAGTCAATGCTAAAATTGAAGGAACTAAATCTCACACTCAGAAACCTGATCTGCCTAGTGATTCTATTCCCGTTAACTTCATAAACCTGGCTTTTATCCTCCACACCCGTCATAAGTATACAAATCATAGATTCCCATTGTGTTCTACTCAACGAATCCCCAACAAAAACAATCCGTTTCCCGCGAAGCATTTCAAGAATTTCAGGCACGTTCAACCTGGGAATATCACAATTCTTGGGCTTCCACTTCCATTTAGTGTAACTTCTATCTCTTCTCCCATTAGCTAAGCAATTAAATCCACGCTCCAGAAAAGGACATTCTGAGGCATTGTATAAAGGGTAAGTCTCATCAGGGATCCACCTCCCTTTAAAGACATTGCACTTGGAAATTGAACTACTGGAATTAGAAATCAGATCATAGTTATGGATGCCTGGGCGAAATCTCGGAAATATAAATAAATATGCACATGTTACTGCTAAGAAGAAGGACAAAGATGAGCCAATTGCGAAAAGCCCATTGAATGATTGAAGAACCCAAAATTTACAATGACCCTTCATTCCTTTGTTGATGAAATTTAAAAGCACCTTACAGAAAAGCCTGATATGGACCGATGATCCCTGATTCATCTTACCCGTATACAAGAACCTCAATTTTTCTCACCTATGGAAAATGTTAAGTGAGAATTCATCAACAGAAAATCCACAAAGCATCATGAATGAACGATGAGAAGGTATAAGTTCAGCCCCCAACAGAATAAAATAGTCGAACACTTGAAGCTCAAGTGAAAAAAGAAACAAAGGAATGAAGAGAAATGTTACAGATTCTTCAAGTGGGTATTGCAAAAGACAAAAGCTTTGGCTATGGAGACACTTGCCAAAGAAGCTAAGGTGTTGAAAGGACAGAGAGAAATAGAGTTGGCGAGTGAGAGATTGCCCTCACAAGAGGCAAAGTGATGAAACAGAGGAAGGTTATGATGGCCGCCAGGTTGGTCCGAAGACGATCTCTCAACTGAAAATGTTGAATACAAAAAGGAGGAAGTCTGTGTCGGTGATTTTCTGGTGCAGAAAAGGAAATGTTGGATTATTACGGAGAGTCAAGTATAGCCTTGAATTTGTCCTTACGTGGCTGAACATGATTGGCTCTGACTTCTGGATTGCTCTGAGATTGACGTTTTATCTTTAACGGTGTTACTAGGCACATGACTATAATGTTTTGATAAAAAGAGTAGGTTTTATAATAACGTACCTGTCGCGTAAAAGTCGTCTGTACCAATTATGAATTATATATGGAAGAAAAATATAATTATAAATTTGTTACTTTATATTTAAAATAAGTAAAATGTATTTATAAGTTTTAAAAAATTATAAATTTTATTTATTTTATTAAATTATAATTTATTTTAGGTTATTCCTCTGCACATTATAGTTAATTTGAAATTGTAATACAACATTAATTTAAATTTAAATTTAAATTATATTAAACATAAATGTGAATATACAAAAGTGACAGAAATTTAGCATAAAAATAATATTTTACTTTCAAATTAATTTTATATCCAATTCTTTGATTGTTGTTTTATACCTGAAAATAAAAATACATTATTATGAAATTAAAGAACGAGTTAAAACATGTATTAAATAATTAATATTTAAATCTTAAATAAAAATATAATATATTTGACTGAATATAACGTAAATTATAATATTTTATAGTTGAAATAGATATTATTATTTATATGATAAAAAATAAAAAAAAATTATTTATTATTGTGAATTGAGAATCGAAAAAATTTATCTTTCATATATATTTATTAAATTATATATATCATCTTTTCATTCATAATATTAGTATTAATTAGATATCATATACATATATTTTAAATTCTAAACAAGAGAGTCATGTATAAAAAAATTTCGAGATGTATATTCGAAATATATATTTGTGAGATTTATATTTAAGGTCATCAATATATAATATATTTAATTATAACATTTTAATAATAATTAAACTAAATTTTTATAATTAATAATATTTTAATTATATATAAGATAAGCCATCCGAGAGGCATGATAAAATTTTTCCTAAATAATTTTTAAATCTAACCCGAGTGGCATGGATATGAAAATCCAAACATACAAGGAATAAAGGTACATATTGAATTCCACTGTTTAAATTATACTGTATTACTATAAATTTCTAACAGCAAATTCCTCATTTCATATCTCCTTTAGAGAAAACAAAAAAAAATCTCCAACTTCTTAGCAAAGTTATTCTTCCTATCTGCAGAACTGTTTTCATACATAATAAAAAAGCAAAGAATGCCTTGTTTCATCTATCATCATAAAAGAACCTATCGACGTCGGGAACGTAGTCTTTTTCTTTCGTATCTGCGGTCAAATCCTTCAAGACTGCTTCAATTTCATCTATAGCAGGATGAGATGTATCTCCTGCAACAAACAAATTTGTTTTTTGCCCCACATCAATCCAGCTACATCCAGGCAATTTTTTTACTCCTCTTTCTCTCATTTCTTTCCTTAAAATGTTGACACCGTCCCAGTTTCCTGATGCAGCATATATATTAGAAAGCAGTACGTAGGGTGATGAATTCTGGGGCTCCAAATTGATGAGTTTATCAGCAGCTTGACGGGCCCTAATATCATCTCCGTGCATTCTGCAAGCACCGAGCATTGCAGCCCAAATCATAGCATCTGGGAGAAAGTTTAATTTATCAATGAAGTCTTGTGCTTCTTTAAGATGACCCCATCGGCCAAGAAGATCAACCATACAGGCACAATGATCTGCCCTGGGTTGAATTCCATAGTGACTAACCATCATGTCAAAGATCTTGCGACCTTCAGTCAATTTCCCTGAATGACTACATGCAGTGAGGACACCAAGGAATGTGACATCATCAAGTCTAATATGGGTTTGCCTCATTTCATCAAAGATTTTCAGGGCATCATCTGCATAACCATTTTTAGCCAGTCCAACAATCATAGAGTTCCAGGAGATGACACTGTTTCTACATCTTATTTCCTTGAATACCTGTACAGAACTTCTCACGTCCCCACATTTAGCATACATGTCTACAAGCGCACTACTTGTTAACTCATCCAGGTCATAACCAGTGTGGAAAATGAGAGCATGAATTACTTTACCTTCTCGTAGAGAAGATAGGATCGCATAGGCTCTAAGCACACTAACAAATGTGGCTTGGTCAGGGAATACACTGTTACGATGCATTTCTCTATAGAACTGCAAGGCCTCCTCATTACAATCATTTTGAGTGTGCCCTGAAATGATAGCTGTCCATAATACGACACTCTTAGGATTAGGAAACTCTGAGAAGAGACTACATGCTTCTGTCTTTTTATGGGAGTCCATGTACATGTTCATAAGACAAATGCCCAAGAAATCAACATCTCCCAAAAGGCCACTCTTTAGTGTCAGGCAGTGGATTTGCCTCCCTAAATTCAGTTTGCCAGGTCCATTACATCCATCTAAGAGGCTTGCAAAAGTAATTTCAGAAGGTCTCAAACCCTCTGCTTGCATCTCTTGAAACAGAACTACTGCTTCCTCTAAATTGTTTTGAGAATAACCAGCTATCATAGTATTAATAGAGACCACACTGTGCTTTGGCATGCAAGATAGAACTTTATGTGCATCCCCTATGGCTCCACACTTAACATACATGTCAACAAGGGAGCTCCCTGCATAAAGGCTTGTTTCTAGACCAGATTTGACTGAGAGAGAATGAATCTGTTTCCCCTTATCAAGACCTTGAACATTTGCACATGCACTTAATATACTAGCCAAACATGCTTCATCACGCAAAATACGAGACAAGATCATTCGTTGAAATAAGTTAAAAGCCTCAACTTCATCCTCTTGCTGCACATATCCGACAATTATTGAATTCCAGGAAACGTTATCTCGATTACTCATGAGCTCAAATTGTTGTCTTGCTTCCTTAGAAACCCAGATTTAGCATACATATCTATAAGCGCATTTTGTATATACAAATTTGA